AGTTTAAATCCATACTGATTTTTTATTTATATGTTTATCCTTATTTTGAGAGTTTAAATTATCCTAAATATACTAAATTTTTATAGTTAAATCTAAATACATGCATAACTACCTAGTCCCGTTATATCTTGTTTGGGTGTGGTCACACCATGCACATCTCGCCCTGTTATTAGGGTTCGTGTATCCCCGTTACATTTTGGGCTGTTCTACTTGTCGCCAGGACAGATATCCTAATTTACCTTTACAGAAGATCGAGTGATCACGATTCGGTCGTGGGATCGACACCAAGTGCTACCAAGTGCAACGGGGTTGCCGTGTGATTTGCAGAGAGTACATTTTTGCGCACATAGAGATTTGAAAATGTATTATTTCCTTAGAAGAAATTTCCTAAGTAAGTAAGAATTTTGCTAAGAGAAAAATATCGAGAATCAAATGTTTGCGTCTGATATGAAAGTATGCGTAGCTAGCTCACGTTTTCCGCAGTTTTCTCTTTTATGGAGTGATGTCATCCTCATCTACAACTGTACTATCTCTGAGTAATGTAGAGTATACGTAGACCATCATTCGGTGACCTTGTGGTGACATTGGCAGATCTGGTCTTTCATATGAGGCCTAGTACTAGGCATCAGGAGGAACAGCAGGTAAATACTGTATGGCAAAGATATACTGCAGAGCCGTATTTCATATCATGGGTTGAGAAGTCGAGTGATAAAAGCAACTTCGCTGTTTGCAAGACCGGAAACTTCAGAGTACGATTATGTGCAACAAATAGATGTTGTGAGAATGATTGCGATAGGTATAATTCTCTCTACATTTATCCCACGTGCTCCATCCGACATGTTCTGGAAAATTTGAAGACCACCGCCAAAGGTCGCTGAATCTATATATACATGATGATTTGAATAGCAGCGATGGATTTGGTTACCAAGGTGCGCGACGCCGAGCACTGGACTCAGGTGCTGGAAAGCAGTGATAAGAAATTAGTCGGTGTGTGCCTCGATATGTTACGCATACGATAGCTGTACTCATTATCCTCGTTTTGGCAGTTGTTGACGTGCACAAAGATTGGTGCGGGTCATGCAAGATTATGGAGCCAACTTATAAGCGCATAGCTACGGAAATCGATCACGCAGAGCGGCGACTTGTTTTTGCAACGGTAGAGAATTACTTGATGTGATTTGAAGAGCATTTATAACATTTTTACAGCTGAATGTCGGTCTTAACGTGGATGAAATCGAGGATACTGGAGGTTGCAAACCTCGATTCCTTTTTTTCAGAGTAAAAGATTATATTTTTCGTGCCAGGAAATATTTATCATGACACATTGTGGCTTTTAGGATCGCAAGCAAGTCGCGGATGTAGAAGGAGCAAACGCGCCCCTTTTGGAACAACAGATAAAGGAACATCTGTCGTCGGCCGAAAACGATGACGATGAGATCTAGACCTAGCAAGATTGCATGCGAACCAAATATGCAATATTTATAATCTCGATTATAAATACTGGGTTCTTGGCCATGCCGTATTAGCTAAATCGCTCTAACTCATTTTAAAATTTAAGTGTCATTAAGAAATCTTCATGTGCCAACCGTTAACAAATTAAACTGAAGGATTTGCTGAACTGGGCGGAAAAACAAAACCAGCGTTTTCCAGTCGCCCTACTCTACATCGCTTGCATGTGTCCCTGTACGAGAAGTTCTGAATCTCACGAAGCAAGCTGTTAGTTTAAAATCAGTAGTGAAACAGACTGTTAGCCAAGGTGCAGTACGTGATTGCCTAACACATTTTTCTTTGAGTATCAATATCTGTGGGTCGGCGTTCACAAACACCAAAGCAGTGCATCTTACCGCAGTTTGTGCATCTCCAATCCCCCTGTGAAACATGTCTTTTACATTGAATACACAATATTGCAATAATAAGACCAAAGCAGTAAAATCCAGGTTACCGGCCACCAATCCATGTGTGGGGCAACCTTCTTGGACGTAAATGGGACATCTACCTGCAAGAACCACAGAGGACATAAGATGAATGTTTGATCATTTAGCTACAAACTCTATATAGAAGCTTACCAACTGGATAAGTTCATTTGTTTCACATGTCTGGCGCGGATGAAAAATGGCCGTGTTGGCTGAAAGACCAGACCGGCCGTGATCCAAATCATGTGAGAGTATAATCTTCGCTTGCGGACTCAGCAAACCTGCTTTTGCTGCCGACGCCTCCGAGCTGGTGTGATCAAACAAAGCATTATTTGAAAACATATTTTGCCAACAGATAGGATAGTACCGGCGTGATGACTCATAAAATGGGATGATAGGCAATCCGTAGTATTTCTTGAAAATTTTGTGTGTTTTCCCTTCTTCCGCCCCTTCTTTGACGCAATTATGATAATCCTGCTTGCCTGTCTTGGTTGATGAGAATGACAGCTTTTGTGTTGATTCAGTGGTCAATAAAGCAGACGTATTTTTTGATAGTTCAGTAAGCTCCTTAGGTGTAACACTCCAGATAGTGCGCCCAAATTCCATCTTTGACTCCGACTCCGAAAACCTAATTGTCGGCAGCCCATCGTCAGCCTGACTGCTTGTATCCATTGACATAGCGGTCATTGTCTTGTCCTCGAGTAAATCTGATTCTTCCTCGTTATTTCCCCACCATATTTTCGCATCAGCACGCGATTTCTTTTTGGAGGAGGATAGATGGTTCTGGTTAAAGTGTTCCTGCGCAGCAGCCATGATAACTGGAGGCGTTAAAATATCATCAGTATTTATGGCAGAGTTGTCGACACTTGGCATTAGCGTGTTGGTAATTTTTGTCCCAAAACGTCTCGGACGTAGGTATTTCGGTGTAGTACATGCTGAAAGCGCCTTTCTCGTCGTATCGGTTCCCATGCTCACGTCCGGGGGAGGCATTTGTGGCAATGGCGGGAACACAGGTAAGTAAGAGAATGGTCTGGAAAGGTGGGCCTTTGCTGGTTTAGATACTGGAATGCTTTCTTTGTTCGCTGCCATAGCCGTTAATGGTAATCTGGTGCTGCTGAGCGTGTACAAGTTGAAGTGAGACCATCACTTTGACTGCAAGAAATATTAATTACGATATTATGTGGCGCACTTATTCCAAATGCATCAAGTACACAGGCAACTACGGCTGCTGTTCGTGCCACGAGCGTCGCCCCGCTTAGCTGCGTACCCTTTGATTCATACGATTGGACCCGTTATGTGCTCAGCGCTAAGGTGTCAGGTTTTCCCACGTAATTTTCAAACAAAACAATCATCAAATTGTCTGTCACTTCTCCCTAAACAAACGTCTCAGAGTTCTAGCCGCAACTCTGACCTTATCACCATTATTTTGGATCCGGAGACAAACTATGCTGCATCACTTAAAGCGCTTATTCAACTGCAGTTTGGCAACGAAAAACTTACAGAGTCACTATATCCATTGTTACTTTACAAGGCATTGCGCGAGGGTCGCAATGAGAGCGTATGGAATGGATACAAGAAGTTTTTGAACGATGAGAGGCAAGGGCGCGTAGCGGTACGACCAAGAGCTCGCACTACTTGGCCAATACTCTCCGATGCAAAGATGCAGATGCAGCGCTTTGTACTTTGGGCCATGCTAGACACGCACCGGATTAAGGCGATGGAACAATTTTACCAAAGTGAAGTAGTCGGCAAGTACAATCGACAAGGTATCCATGAGGCGGACTCACTGAATTTTTTGTTGCGTATGGAATGCACGAGTAAAGTGATAGGTCAGCAGGAAGAAGGACTTCGACTTCGACTAGAAACGCTGCTTAAAATGTTGGAGCAGCATAGATTCCATACAAGCTACTCGTCTTCCCATGCTCTTTTCAGACTGATCGTCCATCGATCAGAAGTTTTCGAAGCGACTCCAAGTGACGAAGAAAATGCTAAAGAAGCCTATGTTGACAAAAATCACAGAGCCACAGCGACGGGTGAAATGATTATCGAGTACATAGAGCGATTTCCGTGTGCAATGGCACTGGATCCAAGGCGAATTTCGATCGCAATTAGCGCTGCGGCAGCCGCCGGTCAGCACGATGCAGCCGAGCTGCTACTTCAGTATGGATTGAAGCATCGTGTACCAATCAGTGCCGGATCGTTCGCGCATGCTGTTGAGGGCGCCCCGGACGATAAAAAACGTTCAAATATCGCTGATTTGTACGTACATGCAAAGGAATGCGATCTTATTTACACAACTGAGGGATCAGACGGCAGCATAGTCAATCATCTACTGTTTTACGCTATAATGGATGGCAATTTTAAGCACACCATAGAACTTCTACACGAAATGCAGCTTAATAGGACCATCGCCAACAATCGAACAGTGCGTGAGCTATTTCGAAGCATCGCTAGGTATCGAGCACACATCCGTAAGGGAGACGACCGAAAAGGCGCTAGCAAATTACTGATTGAATGTCCAACGATATTGGGACTGCTCAAAAGTTTTCCAAATGTCATTCCATGCACTGTACACTCGTTATCGCAAGGAATCCTGCAAAGCTTGTATGCCGGAGACCTGGCTGTAGCGCTGGAGATCATGCGTGTAGCTTGCTTTTATGATGTGAAATTGCGGGCAGAGATTTACTCTCAGTTACTTTATCCACTACTCGCAAGTGGACAACGAGGTGGAGACGAATCTAGCGATGAATGTGTGTTTGATTGCTTGCAAGTCGAGCAGTGTTTTGATCAACAATACCCAAATGAGCATACGCATCTAAAATCGTTAGTCGTCAATATTTGTCAAGCCAATGACGATTTCACGACTATGTTGGTGTGTCTTGACCGCTGGCAGGTACAAGGTCATCCGCCAATGAGTCGGCGGATGGTAAAGCGTGTGTTCGAGGTGATCTCAAAGCAAATTCAGAAGCTGCAGAAAAGGAGCAAAGTAAGCGTGTCCGGTACCGTTTTTGTCGTGAATAGCATGGAACTTTCGTATCTGGCATTTCTTGTTCGGTATCGCTCGATTGTGACTTGGGATTCGTGGACAATCGAGCGCGCGATTATCCGTGCTCGAACTAGTGGCTTGTACGCTGATGTAATGGCGTTGATGGCTGAAGCCAGCTCCCGCGGTTGGAAGCTTAGTAGCACTGCATATATTGTATCGCTCTGTGTTCTTGAAGAGGTTTGTGATCCTCTTGCAGTCGTTGCTTGTGTCGAAACCATCAAAGCGAATGATGCTTGGGAAAAAGTCAAGAGGAAGGACCCGGGGGTGCAGAATATTCTGAGCAGAGCTATAGCTAAGTTAGAGAAATAGAGGTGCCGCTTGTCGTATTCGTATGTGTTGATTGGTATGTCTTGGGCCAAGAGGCTTACAGTGGTATCCTATTCGTCATCAGTACTGTTGCTGCACGAATTGCAACACTTCTGCTCTGCTCTGCACATCTCCCATATCTCCATTTCAAGCATCTGCACCAGTCTGCAATTCGGTTTGATAAGCGGAGACTTGGCGTGATGGCAGAGCTTGAGTATACACAAATGCTTCAAGGTATGCAGTCGGAAGAGGCTAAGCGGGCTCGACAGAGGGAGCACGTTAAAAATAGCTATTACCGGAAGCAGGTATTCGAAGGCATTGGCGGTCTTTTTTCTTGAATATCTGACAAGGTCTATTTTTCTCTTGCCAGAACCTTGTTAAAGCTTTGCGGATAGAAGCAAGTGAGTTGGAGCTTAAGTACGCACGCACGTTTCAGCTAAAACAGCAACAATTAGAGTGGCGCGATGTCGCGGGAGCGCTGGGTTGTGAGGAAGAGCGCAATCACTCGGACGACTTAGTGGAGCAATACATGCAGCTATCTATCAAGAAGCAGCAGCTAGTTCGAGAAAACAAGGAATTGGAGCGAATGACATCAAAATTTTCTAAGTTTCAGCTGAAGATGCAGCAGCTTGTAGACTCCGAGCCAAAAGTCAAGCTGGAGTCACCTTCAGTCGAGGTAAGTATCGCAGCATCTGCAACATAGTAACTCTGGCGGACATGGTGGTAGTGTGGGACCGACTAATCGTAATTGTTATTATTCATTTTCTAGCAGGAGAATGATATGGTGTTAGAACCCTTCACCGTTTCCGAGTGCCACCAACTTGCCAGTCACGCATTCGGCGAGATCGCAAAGTTTATGAAACACAACACTTACCTCACATCCGGTCTTGAATTATTTGGCTGGCGGGAACAGCGACGTGAGGAGCCGGATCATGTTAAATTTACGCTTAAGAAGTACTTTATTGGTCACACTCCACTAAATTTGTCATTGCGCGCTTGGCGCGTGGTGTCTTCCCCACGAGGTCTTGCAGGACTTTACTCATCTGCCATGCGGTTGTCACTTAAAGTGCTTCAAGTCGTGGATGACTACAATGTCATCATGTATCGTGTAATTACAAACCCAACCACATTGGGGACAGTCAAGTCGTTATTTCTGGTCTCGCGGTTTCAGATGGACACTGGATACATCATTCTTTTTCGATCGATCGACCGTAATCGATTGCGAAAGTTTTGTTCAGACGGCACGATCGCAGACTGGGATACTGAGCCAGACAAGTGGTTGGACATGTTCACATGGTACGTGGTTTCTCTACTAATCTATAACGTGCGATTGTGCTTACCGCTTACGCTGCTAAGGACTCTCTTCGAAGAAGATCTGGACAACATTAATGCTCTCACTTTCAGCTACGGTGGTATCGTGTACAGCACAAAGGCATTAACTACGCGCGTGTGGATGCTTGAGATTTTATCGCTGGCATTGCGATGGGAGAATAAGGTTGTTGGGCCACCTTTGATGCTAAGCAGCTGATCAATTAAAGTTTTGAAAAGGCTTGCAACTTCAAAGTAACCCCCTTACGATCAGATATTTTGGCCGACACAGTACCCGCCAAAAACTCAATATTCTTGAACTGAGCTGATGGACTAGGGTTACACTAAATGATTATTAGCAAATATGGATTCAGAATTACATGTTTGACATTGCAACTCATACTTGTCCATGCCAAATTTTTGAGGCTGTTTCTGGGCAGCTTTAACGCTACCAAGAGCAGCTACTCCATGTAGGACGGTTTATACTATCAGAACAGCACTTGTAAAAAAATTTAATGGGTGTCAGAAACTACAACACTATTACAGGCTGTCACAGTTATCCCCGCATCCTCACTTTGTCAAAACGTTCCTGTTCCATAGTTGGTACAATCGACTCAGCTAGCGCAACGATTTTTTGACGCAAACCCATCTGTGTGGCAACTTGTCTGGTTTCCAACATCACCCTCGATCTCAAACGTTTCCTCGCGCTCTAAGTAATCTATCGTTCCGTTTCCTATCTCTATATTATTACCCTACCCACAGCAAATTTCACTTTAAATCATGCGCCTCCCAACTACCTTTTGTTCTGTGTCCCTTTTACGCCTTCTGTACCTCACCCATTTGTGGGTACTACCAGCGCCTTAGTCGGTAGGCCCAGTCGTTACCCTGGACTCCACTCAGCTTCATATGTTTCGCAAGCAAAGATGACTCGGATGTTACTGTTTCTACTGCTTGATATACTCTTTCCATCGTCAAATTTTTTTCACTTGATTCTATTACTATTTTAGCCCTGCCCAATATGCGAAGCTGGTCGCAACTAGATCAACACTGCAACGGGTTGCCGTGCATCTTGCACAAATATAAGTGTGGCTCGCAGAGTCCGCGTTAAATAATGCACGGATGATGGACTCACTGGCTGTCCTTAATGTGTCGAGTTACTACTCTATAATGGTGTGCGAAGGCTCACACTATTATCCTGGCGAACTTCAAAAGTATGCTAAGGATAAAGTATCATGAATGATAATTGGGACGAGTGAGGGTGAGGAAAATTTGTGGAGTGGTGGTCCGTAAGACACGAGGGCTGCTAGTCACCACACTATGCACTGCATGGAGTTGGTCTATTATAAATAGCGAAAAGAAATATTCAGCACCAACTTGTACTATATCTAGTATAAATCATGTTCAATATCAGAAAAAACTAAGTACTTAAGGGGCTGCCTGTGTCGCACCCGGTGATGACATTTCATATGCGTTAGTTGACGTAGATTCTGTGCGTCATGGTACCTTTGATACGATATGTTCGGCAAACTCATTGCATTGGTAGCAGTAGTCATCAATCTGACGACAAAGTTGAAATAGATTGTGAGGCTGTGTGACGGGTCACACGGCACCTTGCACAGAGGAAGCTTGACTTCCAAGAGTATAC